TTTCTAAAACTAAATGGCTGTATAATATTGTTCACATTACTTTCAAATTTGGATGAGATATTGTTGTAGAAGAATTATGCATACCCAATAGAATGAATCAAACATAACGAGTGCAAAGAAACCATCACAAAACTCACTTTCAAGAAAAACCATCACAAAACTCACATTAAAAAAAAATGACATAAAATTTTGAATTTGTAATGACGGTAATAAATGTCACATGACTAGGTACTGTTGGTATTGATGGTATCGAAAGTGATGTTGAAAACTTTACATGAAATTCTTTTGAGCATAAAATTCCGAGATATGAAAGAGATTTCAATATTAAAAAATAAATAAATAAATAAACAACTATTGTCTCTATCAATTTCATCTTCGAACTCGGTTCAAAAGACACTTGAGTGAATTTTTCAAGCCATCCAGGATTTGATTCAAACCAATTTTTTTTCAATCATTGTCAAAATCCGAACTTTCAAAAAAAAAATTGAAAAATTGAAAAAAAAAAAATATACCAATCGAAACGAATACGAATTAATGTCGATGGATAGAGCTCGATAGTGACTACATTAAAAAAAAAAAGTTACTTGATTGCATGAATCAAGTGGCGCGCACTTCAAAAAAATTTTTAAAAATTGAAAAAAACGTTTGTCGCATACATACACACATACATACACACGTACGGACAGGCTCTAAAAATTGCATTTCCGAACTTTTTGGACCATAATGGATTAATCCAACACAAAAAACAAAAACTTATTTCTGCACGATTACAATGCTCCCGTTTCGGGAGGAAAAATAGTGAAAATTGAGTATTTGATGAAGAGTAAAAAACATCAACATTACACGATCAAATCGACCACATTAACAGTGAGCGAGGATGATCAGAAAATTCTTTTGCGTCATTCAACCGACGCTGTCATACTGTCATACTACTTATGGTCATAATGGATAGAAAACAGAAATATGTTGAAAAATTTTTTTCCTCATTTCCCTATACAATTACATTTGATTAAACTCTATCCAATTGTTGTGCGTATTATCGAATCCTAACTATTGGAAGTATTCCTTTTTCCCCCTCCTCTTCAGTACTATCTCAATGAGAAACACATCTGGATGCATGACATAATTTACCTTGTCGTGGTAGAATTCACCCTCGATTGCAGCATCTTTCCCATCAGCAAGCTTATATGCGACGGGATTGGTATCTTTCACATGTTGTTTTTTTGCGAATTATTAAGTTGTCCAATTGCGGGTATATATTTGGTCGAAAACAGCTTTATACTTGCTGATTCATACTTTACCACTTACTTTGAATCCAATTATCCGCTTCGTATCCTCTCGTATAGTGGGGAGGTACTCCGTTCAGCATGGTTCAGCATAGTCGAGGAGAAAGTTGCATTGCCAATTATCTAACAAAAAATTTCGTACATCCTTGAAATATTAATCTCTTTAGCGGAAAATCTGTTCTTATCTTCTTAGTTACCGAAAACGAGACGAAAGAAGAGAGTGGGAAACAGGGAGAAGAGAAATACATGGAAAAATAGTCATGAGGTGAACTCGGTTGTTCCTGAAATTCCTCACCTCCCCCCCCCCCTCCC